AAAAGAAATTTGAAAAAGGAATAGGAGGAGAAGATGCTTAGTAGGGGAGAAAGCAAAGCATGGCATACAACAAAAGGTTACTACTCACACATATAATGCAACGAAAACGGGATAAACTAATTGGGAGAACAAAAAAGTTAAAACGAGCAATATACAATGCAATCTGAAAACAAAACAGACATCGACAGGATCAAAAGTGAAGCATGGAGAAGACCTGAATAACAGCGAGTGTTTCTAATGAGAAAACTAACATGATTTAGCTAAAAGAAACGAAAAACCAGAATAGCTTACCCCAAAACTCCATTGACGAGTAGGTAGAAGACGCTAGGGTTTAAGAAAAGCCCTGAAGAGTAAATGAAGCGTGACAAAACTCGAGAAGGAACGATCGGATTGGTGGTGGCAAATGTTTAAAGCATTTTATAAGGGAATTGCCGCCAGGTTTTAGGAGGCCTAGGGTTTCAAATAATCGAGCGGATGTCAGTGTGGGCCTGGGCTGGACTTGGAGGCCCAGGCGTTCATGGTTTGGGCTCAGCTCAGACCCAAAGCCCAATTCCTTAGGCCCATATACGAATTTTCTGCCATATTTTCACAAATATTACATTAAAAACAGGCTCTTGGATTTCCTTAATTTTTTTTAGTGCAAATATGAAGAGTTATGGAGGTTTGATCATCCAAACATTTTAAGTTAAACCACTACACGAAACTAAATGTTTATGAAACAACTATCGTTTCAATATTGAATATGTTTTTCATGAATTGCATCGATCATTCGAGCATAATCTTAATATTTTTTCGTCTAGAAAAGAATGAATCGCACCCAGCTGAGCTGTGACAATTTGATGCACAAAAATTACGGCTTTCATTAGCTTGAAAAAAGGAACAAAAACACAATATAAGGGTTCCAAAATAATGATGTTTTCGTCCTAAAACAGAGAATGGAACGGCAACCTATGATAACATACTCTAAGGAGAAAACGTGAACTACAAACACTAATAAATAGACCCAAAACGTACATCAATAATAAAACTAAATTAAACTCCCTCAATTTGTTCGAACAATCGCTTCTCGTTGTATGATCCAAACACACTCGACACAAAAATCTCAGCCAAGATAGCAACCTCTGTATCTAGAGAAGAATTACATATTGGAGCTGCATAATAATATGTTGTTGTTTCTAACTTCCTCTCCGTCTTCGTCTTCCTTTCACTTACCGCCATGCTTGGCTTTACTGTGCGACTGAAGAGCACTGTCGGAACCAAATGACCTAAAAAACAGCAGAGGTAGTAACGTCAGCAACCTCAGGACTCTTCTATTGATAGCGCAAGTCATTCATAAGGACATACAGCATACCTGTCACAGGATTTGCAAGAGACCTGGCCTGCGGATTTTGGGGTTTCTCCCTTGGAAGGAGTTTTCCCGGGTTTCTTGGCAGGGTGGGGAGTATCTGTATGGCCCCCCTTCTTCGAGCCTGCTAGACATGTTCAATACCAAATTGATTCAATGGAGGAGCAATGGCGTGGCGGGACAAAGTTTATAGGCTACAAAGGTTTCCGAAGCTAGGCTAGGCTAACATTGTGTGTTCAGTGTATAAACAAAGAGATAAGCTAACAGAACACGCCACTCTAGAGATGATTAGATACATTCAACGCTCAATACATAACAGCATGTTAAAATTGGGTATAAATATTATTTTGTTCATTTTAGTCACTTTTACAAAGTAGCCATTTTGATCATCATTAGTGAATTTAATGCACAAAAATACAAATTTATGTCTACATCCTAAGAAGTTAAGTGAATTTAATGTCATGCCTAAAATTTTGATCAGAAGAAAATGAAATGAAAATGATAGCCAATGAGTATGCAAAGACCAAAAAGAACAAAAGTTAAGAATACATGGATCACAATGAACATTCTAAACATACTGACACTAAAATGAACTAAATTCTAAAATACACTGACCAAAGTAGTATTTAAACCCGAAAGTATGAAATAATGCTCATTAATGTTATCATGAAATAAATGAATGGTTGATAGAGTCACCTGTCTTCTCAGCCGAAGCTACTTTTGCCTTCTTGGAAACAGGAGTCTTCGAGGCAGACTCGTTTGGCCTCTTCTTGGCTGATTCAACCTACAAGAGGACACCAAATGATAAAAATGATGCTAAAAGAAGAAAAAATGTACCAGAATAAACATGGGTTTGTCAAATTTTCAAATAAACTGCTACAAATAGAAGTTGAACTAGGATTGAAACACACCTTCTTTGGTGTCTCCTCCTCACTTTCAGTACCATCATCTTCATCGTCAGAGTCACTGTCAGCTCCAAGCATTTCCTGCAATTTATCGATAGCACCATTAACACATATAAGGAACTTCCATCATCTAACAAAATCCTTGGCAACCTATAACAAAGGATTCAACGAGGATAACGCCTTCACTAATAGACTCTAACGACCATCTAAATGAATAAAATTATAGGAGTCCACCGACTTTCTATTTCCTCAGAGCTGCGTTTTGAAAAGAAAACCAAGGGGCGCTTTTCAAAAAGGCACCAGCTATGAAATAACCTAATCATAAAATTGGGACTTCGCAGTAAAAATCAAACTTCGTACACATGCATTAACTCTCCCAAGGCACCTAAGGTCATGCTTCTCAGAAAAGCACTACCTTTTTAAAATCACCGCAACCAGATGTTCTAGAAGTGGGAGAGTCTCATTTAAACTACCTCATCAGAGTCATCATCAGAATCCTCGTCCTCATCAGAGTCATCATCATCTTCAGAGCCATCATCCCCTTCCTCCTTGCTCGGCACAAGAGACTTAACTTCTGCTTTCTTTGAATTTTTTCCCGCAATAGACTTCTCCTCCTCCTGACTAGGTTTTCCTGAAAGTAAATTTTAACTAGATATTAAGCACAATGCCATGAATATTTTCTACTACTAATACACTATTTCTTTACACAATCAATTGCATTTACCATTCTGAACAGGCTGCAATGTAAGTTCCTCATCTTCTGAGCCAAAATCAGAATCTGAAATGGGATCACACAAACTCAGCTCATCAATTTCAGATAGTAAAATTAGAATATGAAAAGATCAATCAGCAAACTACATTTATGAATGTTTAAAAACTTACCAGAATACTCTTCAGTGGAACACGGAAGACAGGAGATAAAAGTTAAGGAAAAGAAGGATACTATACATAGATGAAAAATCGAAAAATACTAAAAACCAATGGGATCGTATAAAATATTATGTTCAGGCAGCTCCAAAATACGAAAGCATGCTGCTTGACTTGATCATTAAACCCAAACAACGCAGGAAATATAAATCCTCAAATTAAAAGGTAAGGATATTGTTCTTGGTCCTCAGCAGAAGCCTGGTATCCCAAACAGTAAATACTTCCACTCTTCCCGTTGTGGGAGAGCTCAAATTCCTTTTCAAACACAAGATCAAATGATAGCTGAGGGAACTTCTCAGCAGAGAGAATTCCCAGAACAAGCTTCTGGTCACCAATCTTCACAAAAATTGTCACGGATTCATTCGCTTTATCCTTCTTTAGTTCACCTAGAGTCGCCTGCATAAAAATACTTCATCAATTTCTCTGCATTGGAAGGGTCGGTGATTCAACTGGGAAAATAAATAAAAATAGCTACAGCAGTAACATCAGTACCTGTGATAGATGCAGATACTTCTGATCTCCAGGCTGCACAGAGAGTGCCTGACCAGACTTAACTTCAACACCTAAAACCCCCAAAAAAAACATTATGAACTTCGAGTATTTATCAAATATGATAATAAAACATTATCATCTGAAGACATCACTCAAAAACTCTAAGTTTATGCTCCTCAAGACATCAAAACTAAATTCAAGAGGGTACCCTAGTTTGTACCCGCCCCCGCCGAGCTAAAAAAGAAAACGAGAGGAAAGAAGCTTCAAAGCGAAAGCCAAGCGATATTACGATTATGAAAACAAGTAAAAGACAATAGCATAAGGAAAAGATGGAAAGAACTTACCCCAGAACTCCATTGACAGTGGCGGAAGAAGAGTTTAGGGTTTTAGAAGTATTTAGGAGTAGAGGTTAACTGTAACACAGTTCAAAACAATATCAGGAAGACGAAGAGTAGCAAATCAAAGGCAATTTATAAGGGAATTGCCGCCAGCTTCTTAGGGTTTCAAATCACGCAAATTTTTGTTCTGGATTTTGATGGGCTTAATTATAATGTATTGGGCTGGGCTGGGCTGGGCTATCAAATCTTGTTATCCATTTAACTCGGCCCATTCAGCTTGGACTGTGTTAAACTTTCAACCACAATGGGCTGATTTAAACATAATTATTCAATTATTTAGAGTTTTTGTGTGACTAATTAACCTCAAATTTACCGAATAATCAACACAATTATCCCTTGCATTTAAATTAAAAAAAAGTGTCAGATGCGACTCTCTACTAATATTGTCCACTTTGAACATAAGCTCTCACGGCTTTACTTTAAACTTCTCAAAAGGCATCGCAACAATGGAGACTGTATTCTTCCATTATAAATTCATGATCATTCCCTAAACTAACGATGTGGGACTTTTATCATCCAACATCTCCCCTCGAACAAAGTACGCCTCCCTTTAATCGAGGCTCGACTCCTTTGGAATCTTAGTCATTTTTTACAATGCCTCTGAGGATGCTTGACTTTTTTTCTTTTGGAGTTCTTTGTTCGACATTTGCGGATTTACCCATTTATTGTCACGGCTCAATTTAGGACATGACTCTTATACCATGTTAGAGGAACACGACCCTCCACAATGGTATGATATTGTCTATTTTGAGCATAAGCTCTCATGAGTTTAATTTGGGTTTTCCAAAATACCTAGTATATTTTTTTATTATAAATGCATGATCATTCCCTAAACAATGTAAGGCTTTCATTATTTAACAAAACCTACCCGAAATCTCAAGATTCTTCTTAGAGGGACTTAGTTCATTGAATCTTTATGTTTCAGACTCACAATTGAATTCGATAAAAGAAATTCACATAATTTCTACTCTTCACAGGAAAATCTTAGTTTCCACATCGAAACTATTATTATTTACATATTGAAAATTGAAAGTTTCCGGTGTCGATTCCGAGCACGCAAGCGAAGAACAGAGTTGCAGAAATGTTCCCTTTCCTTGGCTCGATCGAATTCCGGTAATAATCTAACCAAACAATTGCAAAGTGGAGATAATTCCGAACTTATATGGAATAGAGAATTTGAAGATGATTTTTCACAGTGGCGGATTGAAAATTATGAATCGATTCGATGTGTGGCGGTAACTAAATCTGGAAATCGATGAATTTGAACCAACTGAAATTGCTGGAACTCTTCGCGCTTTCTTTGGCTTGTGTCGAGCAGGACGACGATGGAGACGCTATTAAATCGTCGCTGTTCTTCGATTTTCTAGGGCACAGATAGAAGTTTCTCGATCCCAAGGCGATTAGCTTCTCCTCCTTGTTCAAACCTGAGATTCGAATCATTATCTCGTTAGAACCACCAGCGAAATTCAAAATAAATGGCGGTTACAACAATTTGAGTTAATTTTCGACTACTTACTTTCTAAGCTGAATTGCGAATAATGAAGATCGAAGGCGGAAGGATTTACAGTCGGCAAAATCGGCCGACGGCCTTCCTTCATGTATTGGCGTATGGTAGCCGCTACAAGGTCGGCGACGGTCATCTCCGACGACATCAACACCTGTACTGGCCCTAGGATACCCTGGATCGTCACGTTGAGGAGTAATTTCGTCATCTTCGGCCGTCCATTCAGCGACGCCACTGATAAATCTAAATTCTTGAACGACAACAACTCCGGATCCGTCTTGGGCCGCCGTAGCGTCGTCGTCGTCTTCAAACTCTCTCCGTGGAACGACGACGACTTCTCTGTAAGCTTCCCCTTCCGAGTCTTATCCTCCGTCCCTTTCCGGTAAGACCTAGGGTTCGGCATCGTTCCTAAATACGAATTAAAGAGAAAATGAGGCTCTGTTTTTGAAATACCTCAGTCGCCGGAAACTGAAATCGAGAAGTTCGGAGGTTCTAGGACAGCCAGATTTCCCGTCGCCGGCAAACAGTCAAAGCAGATAAGTGATGAGAAGAAGCAGAACCATTGAGCGCTGTGATTGATGATGAAGTGAAGCGCATTAAGAACTTATACTCTTAAGAAATAGAAAATAGAACTCGAAAAGTGTATGATCTTCATTCAGGTTTACCACGTTTAAATAGATACAAACTATTAATTAATACCTAAAAATAGAAAAAAATAATATATCTAACTAAATCTTGTAAATAAATAAAATATACGATATCCTCTCAATATATACTGAGATGAAGGCAATGACGTAGACAAAAACACAGGAAACCGACGGGAATATTCTGGTGAAGTAGACGGGCTATAGCCGGTTGCTAAATTCAACATTGGGCGGCTTGCACTCTAGCCATCAGATGTGGACAACCGGCTATTACCCGTAAACTATTACTTGATTGCTCAAATGACCAGGTTCTCACCGCAGGTCAGACCAGAGGTCGTTGGGTTGCTTGACCGTTGAGGGTTTGGAAGGCCTTGAAGAAGCTTGTAAAATTGACGTTCTTTTTATTATTATTATTATTATTATTATTATTTAATGGAATTTTTAGTACAACAATGACTTTGTAAATATAATTTAGAGCATATATTTAAATATAAATAAATTAATTATTTAGTTTAGATATTTGATTAGCAGTTGGTCACGTGCCCTTCTGGTTGAAGAGCGTGCAAATAATTGGGAACCCACTCTCCCCTATCGGATTTCTATATTCTCTTCAATTGTCTTTTTTTTTTTTTTAATAATATTATTTTATTTAAAAATAATAATAAAACAGTCTTCAACTGTTTATATATTACTATTATAAATTATTGATGTGAATATTGATAAAAATTTGAGTAACAAAATGAAAAATAAAATCTAATATGTTAAACAAATTAAAATATTAGACATTTGTACATAATATATATTTAAGGTGAATATGATGTAATAAATTAATAATGATTGAGATATTGGGGAAAAAACAATGTGCAAAATTACATGTGTGCCCCTTTCGCTTTTGAAGCAAAGATGGCCAAACCTGAGAAATTCTAAATATACTTTATTTTATTTTTTTATTCGTATGAATTATTTTTAAAATAAATTAGTTTACTAACCCTCCTTTTACAAGTGCCTTAAATATTTAACCCATGATTTTAAATCTAGTTTTGAAGGAGATTAAAATAAATATAAAATGTTTACTCGTTAATTTAACCGAGATTTGAGAAAGAGAGAATAATATCAAATTAGAAAAGTAATGGAATAATAGTCTTTGAGTGGATAGCGATGACGTTTTCCCATCATCACAATAGTTTTATTGACTTTGTAATTATTGGATGATGAAAGTCTCACATCGGCTAATTTAGGAAATGATCATGAATTTATAAGTGAGGAATACTAACTCCATTGGTTTGAGGCATTTTGAGAAGCCCAAAGCAAAGTCATGAGAGCTTATGCTCAAAGTGGACAATATCATATTATTATGGAGAGTTGTGTTCGTCTAACATGGTATCAGAGCAATGCCCTAGACTTAGTTGTGCCAATAGATTGGCAAATCATGCCTTGATTAAAGGGAGGCGTGCTTTGTTCGAGAGGAGGTGTTGGATGATAAAAGTCCCACATCGGCTAATTTAGAGAATGATCATGGGTTTATAAGTGAGGAATATTAACTCCATTGGTTTGAGGCCTTGACAATATCATACCATTGTGGAGAGTCGTATTCGTCTAACAGTAACTACATGAATGGCCAATTTTAATTTTATTATAATTCACCTTTAAAATGTCTAGATTCATTTAATTTGGTATATAGGTAAATATTAAATATTGTACGCTTTAATTTGTTATGTATGACCTTCAACTTCATGTTTTTTAAATGTATCTATTAAGATGAGGTTTTTATACTTATTTATTTCCTTCTCCAACCGACTCGTATTAATCGGTATTAATGGACATGGGTGTCTTTACCCATATACCATGAATATTATTTTTATTCATCTAAAACAAAATTTTTATTTTTATATCAGTTAATTTTTTTAATTTATATCATAAGATCTATGAAATAACAGATTAATTAATTAATAATAATAATAATAATAATAATAATAATAAAAACCAAGTTTTGCGCTTTATTCTCTATTTTCTTCCTTATCTTAAGAAACAGTTTCACTCGGCACTTAAAAGTGGAATCGAAGGTGCAGACAAGGCATGAAATTTCAGCGTAATTTCGCGAATAAGGACGATTGATCTGGAGGCACTGCCACATGGGTTGGACCTTCACACGTCAGCAACCACGTGTCTTTTTCCATTTCATTTTTTAACACGAAATTAAAATGTTAATAACCAATTATCCATAAAATTTAACTTTATTTATTTAGTTTTGTCATTATTTTCAGTCATAAAGTTGTGTACGCTAATACTTCGTTAAAATGTCGGTGAAGTGGTGAGTTTCTTCATAATTATCTGGAGATATTTATGAATATAAAATTAATTTATTAATCGAGATGCAAATAGTGAATTGAAGACGTTGGTCGGGTGGAATTTGGTGTTTTGTTAAATCATTTCGGATTGGAAGAGGTTGGTGTTCGTGTTTGTGTTGTGGGGTTGTCTAGGGAAGGCATAACTTATGTGTGTGGGCCAACCAATACCATTTGACACGTCATCTAATCCCGTCTCGATTTTCATGAGTCAATTTTTATATTATTATAACGGTGTATAAAAATAACTTTTATATTATTAACGTCTACGACAGCTCAATTTAAAAGCATTAATCAATGTCTATGAGACGTGAAAAATAGTCAACAATGTCGTCGGGAATATTAATTAAGCAGACTATTTTGTTGACGTATTGAAGAAGGTCTATGTCATGATGAACAACGATGACAGTAACTATAACATCAATATCAATGACATGATTTTCTTCTCACTTTTGTGACTACTTTTCTTTCAAATTATTTATGGTATAAAATAGATATATAAAAAAAAAAATCAGTATTAATATAAATATAGTTAGGTACATAAAATATATTTAGCCCTTGATTTGATTAAAGGGGGAGTAACGTAAGAAACAAGGAAAATAAAGTGGCATGATTAGGAAAGAACTTTGAAAAAGCGTAAACTAATTTGATAAGCAATAGCTTTCGAAAGGTGGAGGGAGGCGGGGGCTGAGACATACATGAAGAACGAAAAACCCCCGACAGCTACGGAAGCGGCTGCTTGATAGGGCCTCGATTGGTTTCGATCTCTTACACAGAGACGATTCAAACTCACAAATACTTCGATCCCAGAAATTGCAAATTCCACCTGCTCACCCCGAAACCGAAGAAATGTCTCTCCTATTCCATTTCCCCTATCCATTTTTCTCCTCTGCTTCCCATTGTTTCCCCTTCTCAATCCTTTTACCTGTGGCGCCCACCGCCCGGACCCACTCATCACGACGGCCAAGGCTTCCACCACCGCCGTCGCACTGCTCTGCCCACTTCTTTCCTCAGATGCCGTAGTGGGTACTGTTCTTTTTTCCCCTTTTCTTTCTTTTTGGCTGCCTTTTTGTCGTTCTATCTTTTCCCAATTTTTCAATGCTCATGATTTTTCTCTACTTATTTACAATTGAATGTTATGCCTAGGAGATCCCTTTAATCGCGCTTGTAAATCTAATCTATCCATTTTGTTCTTGCTCTGTTTCTTCCTTCTTCAAATGCCTCACTCTTCAGTCCTCTTAGCTTCTCCATTTCTATATGTGCGTCTGTTGCACCTCTTTTGTGATAAAACTGAAAGAGGGAATGATTTCTGGTTGAATTATACAATGAGAGAGTTATTTTTGGCGTTTGCGTGATGCATTCATAGTTGATTTTGGTTCCTTAATGAGATTCCGGAGGAGAAGACAATGCTTTCCATCTTGTTCTTCCCTCCACGAAGTAATCCACCTATCAATCTCTATTGATTTATTATTGTCTTGATCATTCCAAATTTGCTGGGAACATCCACTTTCTGATTGTCTGCTTAGTCCTGTTCGTTATGTGAAGGGAGTATCATTTTTCTATGTTGTTTATATCTGTTGTGTGCCTTTGGTGAAACTATGTGTTCTTTCTGCAAATCATTTTACTGACAGTGAATTCTAAAAATTGTTATAGGTTGATGAAGATGAAATATATTGGAGACGTAGAAGAGGTGATGAAGAGTTAGAATGGTCACATAGTTCCACCCATGTAATTTTAAAGCTAGCTCAATGTTTTAGTGAGTAGAGCTTTGTTTGAATATCTTTTTGTGGAGTAGAGATTAACATCTAGAATTATGACTTTTTGGAATTTACTTGTGCTTTATATTATCACCCTTTTGCTTATAAATTAGCTTGTGGTAAATGTAGCTAATGCTATGGTTGGACCTCGATCATGGATCGTAGGAATCTTCAATCGCTCAGGCAATAAAAAGAACGATAAGTTTCAATACCCTTTGAGTCCTCTTCAGGTAATTAACGTCAATAATGTATTGGAAGTCTGTGTACTGTGTCTCATTCATTTGCTTTTATTTGTGTTGCATTATTCCACGAGTGGTATGGTTTATAAGTGTGAGGAAAGCTTTACCTCTTGTGCATGAAAAGGCATTGGCACCAATCAGTGGGACTGTAATATTGTCTGCTTTGGCTCGTTACGTATCGCCGTCAGTGTCACGGTTTTAAAACGTGTCTACTAGAGAGAGGTTTTCACACCCTTATAAGGAAAGTTTCCACACCCTTATAAGCAATGTTTCGTTTCCGACTAAAGAACAGATTTTGAGCTTTGCACATCCCCTTTCTCTCCACCTACCTATAGACCTTGGCTTAAGGACACGTTTTTAGCTTCAAACGTCTCCTTTCTCTCCACCCTTCTATAGATCATGCATGTAATAGAACTAGAACCTTGTGTTTCTATCAACATAACTTTCTCCAACAGGTTGTAAGTTTATATCTCCACCCCTAACATCTGATGTAATGTTCTTAAAACAATATATTCTCATGCGATTGCGAGAATGTCTATATGCATGGATTATGGAACCTTATATTTGTTTGATCGATTCTTTTACGCCCTCAGTTTATTAATTTAAAACTCGTCGTCCCCTTTTCATTGGATGAGACGCTCTAATGTTCAAGTAAATATAATTATATTTAAGACCATTTTTCTAATGGCTTGTTGATAGGGGTGTATGAAGGTTGAGCATGTATGTTCTAACATGTGATTTATTCTACCAGGAGGAAAGGCTTCAGAGGCTACAAGACCGAATTCATATACCTTATGATGAGATGTGCATTGAGCATCAAGTACTTTTCTTTATTCGTTTTAGCACTCTTCAGGTTTTAAACTTCTATGCTCTATGAAGATTATCTGAGCGCTCTGAGATGAGTCTAAGCAACGAACTCACTGCATTTTTCGTCATTGACAAGATCCCGTTTTAGAAGCCCAAAACCTCTTCCTTGATTTGAGTTCTCATCTATTTGAATTTTGTTGTCTTTGCATTACATCAAATTTAGTTTGATGCAGACAGTTAGAAGTTTAGCGTTTTCCCATTTATGCTTTGTTTCATCATCTGTGAGCACAAGTAACCATCCTTCATTATTGATAGGAAGCTCTGAGGGCATTATGGGATGTTGCCTTTCCAGATGTTGAGCTTAAAGGGTTGATATCTGAGCAATGGAAAGAAATGGGTTGGCAAGGTGCTAATCCATCCACTGACTTTAGGTATAATCCAAGCCAGCATTTCAATGTATATTCTTTGTTATCTTACCTCTTATTAATGGTGATAGTGAAGTAAATGTTGAGGCTTGTTTTAATTTTTACAAAGACTTAAGATTTAAGCAACCCATCTAAAATATAGTTTGAAAACTAAAGCTATGATAGGAGACGAGCGACAGTTTTTGTAACAGCCCAAGCTCACCGCTAACAAATATTAATCTTTTTGGGTTTTCCCCTCAAGGTTTTTAAAATGCGTTGTCTAGGGAGAGGTTTCCACACCCTTATAAAAGAATGTTTTGTTCCCCTCTCCAACTGATGTGCGATCTCACAATCCATCCTCCTTCGGGGCCTATTGTCCTCACTGGCACTCGTTCCTCTCTCCAATCAGTGTGGGATCTCACAATCCAACTGTAACGCCTCTAATTTTCTTAGCCTAAATTAGTGGCGTTACAAATTGTATTAGAGCCAGACATTGGGCGGTGTACCAGCAAGAACGCTGGGTCCCGAAGGGGGTGGATTGTGAGATCTCACATCGGTTGGAGAGGAGAACGAAGCTTTTTTGTAAGGGTGTGGAAATCTTTATCTAGCAGACACATTTTAAAAACCTTGTGGGGAAGCCTAAAGAAGACAATATCTGCTGGCGGTGGGTTTAGGCTGTTACACTATTGTCATACCTTGTTCAGGGATTAGATGTGAGAAGCATGCATGCAAGCGTGCTTAGAGAGAATGAGCGTGTGAGACAGTGCAGTGCACACATGTGCGTACATCTGCTGAAGATTGAGGGAGGAATTCATTTTCTTCTAAATGCATTACACTTTAGTGGATTGGTAAAAAGAAAGTGTTACATATGTTAACTGAATACTTTGTTTTTGATACTTGAAATCAAATATTTTCTCACAGTTGGCTGCTTTTCTTAGGGGTTGCGGTTTTATTTCCCTTGAAAACTTGCTGTTTTTTTCCAGGACATTTCCGGTATGTCCTATTCTGTTGTATCACTCCCACAATGGGATATTCCATGTTCTTGTTTTTTCATTTCCTTAATGCGTGAGTGAGTTATCACTAATCTCATACAAATTCAAAATGAAGGCATCTTTTCGTAGGTTATTATCGAAGGAAGGTGGCAATCGAGCAACTTGGGAATATCCGTTTGCTGTTGCTGGCATAAACATATCGTATATGTTGATTCAAATGTTGGATTTAAAATCAGGTATGTATCTGCATTTTTCGACTCGAATAGTTCGCTTTAATAATGGGAATGATCTCTGCAGGTCTTGTTACCATGAACCCAACAAAATATGTAACAAAACAATAACAAAGAACATGATTTAAAAGCCTTCTCGAAATCAACTCTGTCTAAAACGTTCCCATCCCAGCAACTAAAAATTCTTGTTATCTCATCTCTTGTGTACAGCAAAGCCAAAGTGTATTCCAGGACTCAATTTTATGAGACTATTAGGAGGTACTGACTATCCCATCCATCATTTTGGTTTTTACTTGGACATATCACACATGTTTTCATTACTCAACTTCTGTGACGCTCACACAATACACACTGTTAACTCGTGGCAGAAAACGAAGAAGCATTCGACATTCTATTCTGCGTAACTTTCGAATTGATGGATGCTCAATGGCTTGCCATGCATGCTTCCTACATGGAGTTTAATGTATTCTCTCCTCTCCTCTCCTCTCAATCTCACACACACTAACACTATCGTCGTCGTCGTGTACCCAAAACTTTTGTTGAAGCTTTTGATACTCGTGATTGTCAGGAGGTCCTGCAAGTAACCAGAGAACAGCTGGAAAGAGAGCTATCTCTAGAGGATATTCACAGAATAGAAGACTTACCAGCTTATAATCTGTTGCTTCTGTAGTTATGTTGTCACTGAAAGATTGTATACTGAACAATGGCAGCCAGTTCCAGAGAGTGTTTTGAGTTTGAACTTGAAAACCCACCATTGACCACTGTATGCATTATTATAGAGGTCATAGAAAATCATTATGAAGTTAATTTTAGTTGTTTTTTTTTTTTTTTTTTTGGGTATGATTTTATACTTCTTCGAAAAGAAGAAATAGAGATGTATAAGACGCGATTGTTGTAAGTTGTCATGACTATGTATTATCATAACTCTCATTTAGTTCATAACTCTTGATAGTTCATATTCTCGTTTATTGGTTCATTTAGACGGAAACAAGATCTATATATATACATTCTTTTTTTTGAACACGAAAAAAAAAGTAAACTTAAAAATCATTTATGATTGAGTAGATATTTATGGTTGTATGTAAGTGGCTAAATTGGAAAATATTAATTTAATTAAAGTTAATAATAATAATAATATGAATTGATTAGTGAACTAAACGTAATACAACACTAATTTCCTCACTAGTAAAAGCAGAAGATTAAGGCAGTGATGATGTATTATTATATATAAATATATGTGCAAATGCCTTCAACTCAATCATCTAATCTTCTTTCTTAATTTAATCATAATCTCTTTATTTGGTGTGAATTATGTATATATCTTTGCTTGCACTAAAACGTTTAGAAATTCTAACTGAGAGTCTAAATTCATTTTGTGAAATTCTGCACAAGTTAGAGGATGAAACGAAACATTACTTACAAGAACATGAAAACTTTTCTTTAATAGATACATTTTATAACAAACATATAAAAAGTTAAAGACTATACAGGAAAATGGTGGGCTATGTATTGGGGTAGCGATGTTTGTGGGTATTGAGACACGAAAGGGATGAAGTTCATTAAATAGATTACGTGTTGTTTAATTATGTGGGGTTTGGGTTTTGAGAAAGTGGATAGCAATTTTGTGTATGTTCATACTTATGAAGTGGATATAGCATTGTCTTTGGCACCCATTAAAGATATCATCTAAAAACAAGAGTATACTTATAGGATATGACTATATATTACCACTTCAATCCAACTATACCTAATTTTTAATGTCATCATTCCTATTTTACACAATAAATAAATCGATATAATCTATGCACTTTCACGGTTCATTCATCATTACAACACCCCTATTAATTATGTATAATTACTCCAATTTCAATACAATCCATCTCTACATGAATAAATCGATAGAATGACTAAGAATGGTTTAAAAGAAATGAAAATTACTACTTACACCAACAATATGCACTTTCTTTCAGTGTAAAAACTCTGTAGTTAAAAGCATGATTTGCCTAAAACAGGCAAAAACAATCCTATCCTATATTGGGTGAATGAGTCTAAGACATAATCCATCTTTACTCTTAGGAGTAACGTAACTATGTCATAAAAAATGCAGTGGAATGTTAGTATCATTAGGTATAGGTCTTAGAATGATTATTTCGTGAAATTGTCTTAAAGTGATCAAAGATTCAAACTTTGAGTGGAAAATACATGTTGGGTCTTTATCGTTTAGATTAGAAACATTTGTAGCTTTGTTTTGGGCATTTTTAAATTGAGTGGGACGAAGAAGTCATAGTCGAAACCGACTTTTATAATCCTTTATTAAAAGGGTTAGGAATGAGGATTTCAGTTGAGAGTTGGAACCAAAATCACAAAGGCCATGGTATAACATCAAACACTATGGACCCACTACGAACCATGACTTTGCACACAAAAACAGAGACTTAGAACAAATCTGTGAGAATTTTCAGTAAGATTTAGCAACAAAAATGATGGGTCAAGCAATCAATCAATCATTCATTCATTCAAAGGGAGAGTCTTTCTTTCGTTCTTTCTTGCTCTCAATTGGAAAATGTGTTACAGTGTTCATACAAACACAACAGTGATGGTTCAAACAGGCCACACTTCTATGATCTCTCTGTCTCTCCCTCTCTGATCTCTCTCTCTCTCTCTCTCCCTCTCCCTCTCCGATCTCTCTGTTTCAACAAGCCTGACGAGTAGCAGTCAGTGAGTAAGTAAGTAAGTAAGTAAGTAGTGTTTTCTATGCACAAGCACCACCCCACCACTAACCAAAAACAGGGGAAACCAAAAACAGGGGATTTCAGGCATGGATGCGGCTGAGATGAAGAACTTTTTAACATCTGGGTCACACTAAAACAAACCACAAACCAAGAACAACAAGAACAAGAACATGAAGAACAAGAAGAAAGGAACAGTGCTTTCCCCCATGCTAAGTGCAGAAAAGGCAGGTAAGACCCAACCGAAAGTAGGAATTTTTTTGGGTTTTTGTTTTCTTGGGAGGTCAATCAATGGATGATGGAGTCATAAAAAAAGGAGGGTTTGGTTTTAGCCACGACGAATCATGCCAGTAAAGTAGTTGAAGTCGTGGTGCTGCACCCTGAGTTGCTTTAGCCAAGAATCTGCCACGCTCAAAAGCGACACCACCCGTTCTTGGTCCCGCCCATAATTCCCTGAAATCCACACGTTTCCTTGCATCTTGTATGTCGCCAAACCAAATGCCGGCAGCGCCATCCCTTCCCCTTCTTTCCTCTTCCTTTCTCCTCCACTCTCAAATTCATCCTCCACGTCCATATCTACATAAATCCATTCAGTTCACCCATTTCTTCACTAAATTAACGCATAAAAACGCCATTTTTTGTACCTTGAAATGAAGATGAAAGCGTGTGGTATGTCAGGAAGCATGTTGATAAGTCCTTTATGGTTCTCCCCATTGGAATATGGTAAATTGGGTACCTGAAAATTCATCCTATTAATAATCCAAAGCTCACAAAAACAGAGACAGAAACAAGGGAAAACAGAGAGAGAGACAGAGACAGAGACCAAGCAACAGCCATCCAACTCGCTGGGGAAAGATCGACGCTTCTCAATGTCATCAAGCCAGGGAATTTTCGAGCCAATCCATTGATCTGAAAAAAACACCAATCCATTATTCTTCCTTCTATTCAAATCTCAATCCAGAGAAGCTCAAAAGTTAATACCTTATCCATTAATGGAACTCTTCCATAAGGGGTTGATCTCTCGAAATACTGAAAGTAAAGGTATCCCAATCTGTCACTAAGATGCAGAGGGCTGTCTTGCTCCAACAATCCCCCCTCTTCCGATGAGCTTCCGTCCCATCTCCATTGTTTTTCACTTTCACTCTCATCGCTGGATAAATCGCTGAACGAATCCCTTGCTTCACTGTCGCCGCCGCACTCATCCCTACAAAAGAATCGGGAATTCATCATTTGGGGGTTTCTTTAATGGATCCTTGAAAAAAGGGTAGTCGTACCTGAAACCATTGACGGTGGAATTGCTAGTGAAGATTTGGATTGCAGAGAGATAAGGAACATAATATTGAACAAGGGTCTCGCCGTTGTTGACGGCGATGGGAACACCGGCACCGTAAGCGCTCCATTCGTCGTAACAATTCCAGAGATCGCCGAGGGTGAAATATTCAACCTTCTCTCTCTCCCATGGATGCCATAAACGATTCAGATTCCTAATCTCACTCTGAGAAAAGAAAAACAGAGATTTTCAAATAAATCCAAATGGGAATGAATGAATTAATGAACGAAAGCGACGACAAACCTTGGGCAAGAATTGGGAATTGACAACCGGCGTTGTGCAATGAAGAAAACAACCCAAATTGGATTGCATTGACCCTTTGTCAAGAATCATAATTTTGGAGGAGAGGGAGAGAGAGAGAGAGAGAGAGAGAGAGAGAGAGAGAGAGAGAGAGAAAGTTTTCAGAGTCTTCCCCTCAACCCTGAGAAACAGAGAGGATTCCCAGAAAACAGAGCACCCAGAAGAAAGACAGAAATGGAAGAGAGGGAGAGATTATCGGAGCTGTTTCTTGTTCCTTCCAAAAATGAGATAAAACCCAAAAACGTGTGAAGAATTTTCTAAAATTAGAAACTCAAACACCAAATTTGAGGGGAAAATCAAACTCTGCTCCTTTTGTTCTTGCTCTGTCTCTGTCAGATTGTAAATGCCGTCGAACCACCAACGAAGGCGTTCTCGTAGCGCCGAGAATTCAGCGAAAACCCGTAAGCAAAGCGAAGCGTTCCTCTGCTTTAAACTGAACCGTAAAGGAAACTCAACGCACATCAACACGGAGTCTTCAACTTTGTTGGGTAATCAAGAAAACACCCATTTCCTCGAACAGTCGCAGCAATTCGATTGAAGCCACCCAAATCTTTAAGCTAAATCAACGCAGATCGGACAAGGAAAGCTCCGAAAACGAGATCTTCTTTGGTAGCAAAGAAAACGAACAACTGTGGAGCAAGAAACAGAGTGTCAAATTTTAAAGGCAGGAGGATTCTAGACTTTTCATTAATGGGATTTTACCAGTCCTTCCTCTCGCCCATGGAACAGAGCACATCCGGTAATCGCCTTCCAATTAATAACCGCTTTTAATATATATATATCTATATCTTATATAAACTTCAAGGGGTATTTTGGTCACTTTATGGAACAAAATGAAGCATGTGGTCTTTGAATATTTCATGTCCATTTTAAAAAGAAAAACAAATACTTTTATTACTTTTATTAATAATTATTTGGTCATTTTAAGAAAAGGGTCAATGTTAAAAATAAAGGCATGTGCCTAATGAGACTGCATTTAGTTTAATTAAAACCTTATAAAAATAATTTAATTAAAATGATTTTCCGTAAATAATTAAATAAAAAATCTAAAAAAAATTGTCAAAAATAAATAAGTTATTAAATATAAAATTAAAAGTGGAAAAGTGTATTAAATATTTTTTATAATTTAAGTTATTAAAAAATAAATATATGGAATAGAAAATATATTGGGATACTAAAACAATTCTTCAAGGTGTTTATATGGAATACAATCTTATCATTATTTCTCACGAATCTGTCTTTCGGTTCTTAAAATGCTCTTTTTAAACCCTAAAAAATGTGATAACCACACCAAAGCATATTAGAGAATAATAATTATATAAAAAAATAAATAAAATTCCATTAAATATTTTTTAATTTTAATAAATTTTTAAATAATAAAAAAAATGAAACTGACCTCGATTAAGGAGAGAATAAAGACCTGTTTTAAAATTTAAAATTTTAAAATATAATATCTAAAATATTTTATTATTAAAAATATAAATATAAGGCTATTTTTTAATTTTTAAAACAAAAGAGGGGGAAGTGCAAATATTTATGAGTTGGGGGTTTGTTGGCAAAACCACATGAGTTGAAGTAATTACGACATGTCGTTAAAGTTTCCAACTCCGTTAGTTTTGGAGGGAATCTAAACTTACCGAGGAAAATAAAGTAGATAGTAACCGTCCAATCACTGTCTGAAACGTGGAAAATATGCGTACCAATTATTTGGTAAATTTGTGACACATCATCCTTCACCACGTTGGATATTTTATATTTTTTTTTTTTGTTTTTTTTAAATGTTAAAATTAAGTGGGAAAATGATAATTCAGTAATAAAAAAAATACTTTATTGACTGAGTTGAAAGTATCCTTTATTTTTTAATCTGGTGGAATTGGCATATAAAAAAAAAAAAAAAAAATCTGAATATTGAAACGTGCCTTTTTAATTAATTACAAAAATTTATATATTTAAATATCCACATTAAATGTGTCATTGTTTTTTTTTTTTATTATTATTTATTATTTATATTTATAATCAGAGATTAAATATTTGCGAATAACCAAATTAAACCTTTTTTAAAATGAGATGGAACAAAAGTTAGTTATATAAAAAATTAAATTAGCATTTATTCTACCGCATGAAAAAAATAATACTCCTATTTCCACGTGGAACCATTATCTACTAATGGAAATTTTAAAGAAAAATATAGTAGAAAATAAAGCACTTTTAGAAACCCCAAATAATAATTAATTCATTTACACGAGATTTAATAACCCTATATATATATATATATATATATAAAAGACAATTAATGGATAATTGATAAATTTAGAGATATGCTCGAGAAAAAGAACTGCCACGTGTCATATCATCCTCTTCCTTTTCACTAATTTTCCTTTTTTACGTATATATTCCAAATTAATATAGTTTTTTTATTTTGAAAATAAAATAAATATAGTAAGGTTGTGAAGTATAATGTTTTTTTTTCTTAAACTATGGTTTGATAAAACTGTTAAAAGGGATAATAAAAAGGTTAATAAATAGAAAGAAAACAAAGGTTAGCGCCATAAAACATTAAATTAAAAAAAAAAATCAATTAAATCTACAATAACTCAATAATTCAATGTTAAGAGATGATGTCACTGAAGGACGTAAAGCTCACGGTGGTGTCGTTGAATCTAGTAGCCGTGAAGATTTTGAGCTCAACTAAAATGTTGGTGAGAATATAAAAAACGATAGATAGACATAATGACACCCATGACTACAGTGAACCAGTTGTAGCACGTCTTGTTGGACTCATCGATGGTCTTATAAAAGATGAAAGCGCCGACTATAATGTCGAATATGAAGGTGATGAAGATTTCGACGAGGAAAATTCTTACCGTCGTGTTTGTTGAGGTCGAGGCAAATGAAAAATAAAATAAAGAAAGAAAAATTTAATTTTGTTTAAAATAAAATTGTGAGAATAGTAAATTAAATTAAAGGGTCACATGTTGAGGTTGGAGGAGTGCAGGACCAAACATTATAACTTTAATTTCAGACAAAGGAATATATTAGTTTTTTTTTTTTTTTTTTTTTTTTAAATAATAAAACATATTTTGTCGGTGGGGAAGAAGAGAGTTTATTATAATAAAAGTCAAATATATATTTTTTTATTTGGTTCTCTTCCAATGGGGCATCGGTTAGAATTGGAAAAATAAATAAATAAAAAAAAAAGAATATTCGAATGTGAATTTTATTGCCAAAATCAAGGGCNAAAAAAAAAAAAAAAAAAAAAAGTGGGATAATATCTTTAAATTTTATAATTTTTCTATTTAAATTTTTTTAAAAATTTCATAATACTCTTAAACTTAAAAAAAAAAAAAAAAAATTAAAATAATATCATTACCATTACTATTTTATTTTAAAAATATCCTTTTTAATTTTAAAAAGGTGGGATAATATCCTTATTTAAAAAAATAATCTTATTATTATACTATATTTAAAAAATATTCATAAAATTTAAAAATAGTATTAATAAGATTTACTCTTAATATTATATATATATATATATATATATATTATTATTAATATATAGACGAAAATTGTTTATCCATGCCTCATATTATTTTCAAATTTTTTAATATATGAACNTTTTTTTTTTTTTTTTTTTTTTTTACTATTTTGAAAGTTGTACTATACAATTGTTCTAAATTTAAAGTTTTTAGGATTGATTTATCAAAAAAGAATATACACAATATTATAAAAAAAATATGTTTATATAAATAATAATTATTAATTTTTTAAACATTTATTTAACTACCCTTCATTACTTTCTCATTAATCAGTCTTCGAAGAACGGTGTCTTTTTTGAATTCTTTAAAATAACCTTAATTTTTTGTGTAGTCAATTAGTTGTTTATACTTATGATTAGAGATGTCCACTCAAGTGGGATGAAGACTTTGAATTTATTAGAAATCTCCTTTGAAATATAAAGATTTTTCTGGACGGGTATAGGGATAGATTATATTTATCTTTCTAGTCCCCGCACTTACCATCTTGTCTCGCCTCTTTGACATATAGTACAAAATTAAATTATTATATTTATTTATTTAAAGTGTTATAATATTAAAATTTAACATTAATTTTTAATTTTTGTATAAAATATCAATAGATTTATTATTATGATTTACATCTTTTTATTTAAAATTTGAAATTATTCATGAAAAAAATGATCTTTTTTTATAATTGTCCGACATGTTTTAGTAAATGCTGTTGATCCACGTGAATCATGGTCAAAATTTCATGATCAACTTTTATTTTATTTTGTTTGGTCTTTTTAACCGAAATTCTTATGTTATATAATTAATTTGAATAAATTTGTATTTGATATATATTCTTAAATGATGATTTACTTAATTGATTGGATAAAATCCAAAATTATCCTAATAAATGGGCCTGCTTCAGAAAAAGGGCCCAATCTGAATCTCTACACTTATTGGCCCACAACTATATTTTATTTCGATTTTTTTTTTTTTTTTTTTTTTTTTTTTTTTTTTTTTTTTTTTTTTTTTTTTTTTTTTTTTTTTTTTTTTTTTTTTTTTTTTTTTTTTTTTTTTTTTTTATCCTTTCAATTTTGTTCTTCATTGATATTCTCGCAATTAGTCTTGCAGTGGTTTTAAAACGTGTCTATTAGGGAGATGCTTCCACTCTTAAATGAAATGATTCGTCCACTCTAGCACATTGTGTGACTTTGATACTATTTGTAATGGTCCAACCCCACTCTTAGCACTGTTAACCGATATTATTTTATTTAAAGCTTTCTTGTTCAAGTTTCCTCAAGATTTTAAAGTGAGTCTAATAGAGAGGTTTCGTTCCAAATATTCTTTGGCGGGAAAACTTTTTCCTAATAGACAATGTTTTAAAATTGTGAGGCTAATGAAAATACATAAGGGACAAAAGCAGATAATGTCTACTAGTGATGAACAGTTACAAATTTCCAAACCTTAATCACTCATTTAATCATTAAAGCTTAATACTCTATTAAACTTAAGATTTACAATCTTTCTACAAAAGTAAAACATGTCTCAATCAAGTCATTAGGCTTATTATTATTACTACTATGTTAGTGTGATCTCTGTTTTGTTGTTCTGTATCAGCAAACGATTCAGAGAAACTTGTAAATAATAATGGGGAAATTAAAAATCAATCCATTTTTATTAATGGGGTCTGATCCTTTTGACCATGGAGATGAAGAAGGTGACCGCTTTTAATCCCCCATTTCTCTCCTTTTCCCCTTTATACTCTGCTTTTGAGTTAATGCCCCATCTCCCCGCTTTTAATCCCTTTCCTTCCGCTTTCCCTTCTGATTTCACTCCCCATCGTTCACCATTTGCCTCGCGTTCTTGGAAATTTTCTTAAACCCATTACACTTCTTCTTTCACTCTTCTCGATTTCAGGGATTTCCCATCGCAGTGATTAGCAAGTCCCCTTGTGAGTTCCTTCTCTTTTTACCCTTTTCTGCGTATGGTTTATGATTGTTTGTTGTCCATGATTTTTCTTGGGTTATTAGCTTATTACATTCAAAGATCTGCACCGCTGCTTTGATGGGTTTTGTATTTCCCCCCTTTTTTCTTTGAATTTTCAGCCGTGTTGACGAAGAGATGGTAGCTTATTACATTCTGTGTATTGTTTTATCTTTTGGGGCTAAGAATTGGTAGTGTCATTACTGTTAACTGGCAGAAAAGACAGAAGTCTTGGCGTTTGGACATGTTCTTAGTTAGTA